ATAAGAAAAATTAATTGTGGACCACGTACATTTTCAATTTCAAGCTAAAATTTTAGGCAGAAAACCCCACCTGCTAACAACATTTCTCTTTCTCCACAGAAAGACTGTCAATAACAACAGCACATAATGCCATTTTTTCCTGACTTTAAAATGTCAAAAAAAACAACAAATAAACATTCTTATAAGATTTTAAACATATACTGAAAATTCATTTTTTTCTGGAAACTGCACAATTGCATATTTTACTCATGAGTGAACTTTTTCAAAGTCTGTTTGGATTTAATTTTAAAAAAGTTTTACATGCATTTCCTTCAATTATTTTGGCCATAATTTCAGTAAAGATTAACAAGTAAATGTTAGAGATTAATGTATCATCAATATAACTTAAAAAGTCCATGATGTACATGCACAAACTGACATTCCCAGACAGGTAACTGACGAAGGGACTAAACAATGGTTTGGGGTTTGATGCATGCACTAAAATAACAACCAGCATTCTTCCAAAATATCTGTTGTTTTTCCTGTTCTCAAATATGGAGTAAAATGGACACGGTGTCTACTTTTTCCACTGAAGTATTTTGCAATTTGAAAGGGCATTCAAATGTATCATGGATTTCAGATCACAAAGCTCAGAAATCCTGCAACACACAGGAAACCTCCCCAACAAAGCCTTGCTATATAAATACGCCATCAGTCAAATTCTTCAAATTCTATTTTAAAAGATTCCCTACTTAATGTTACAGTTAGTTTATTAATATATTTTACATCTAGTAAACTACAATGAGAAAAATCCTTATCCATCATTTGCTTTCTTACTTATTTCAATTTGTACTTAAATAAACAATTTCGACAAATGCTACACTAAATACTAAAATATAAAAATTATAAATATGTGTCTTTGAAATTTTAGTTTGTTATACTGGTTTAGATTTTATATTTTTCTAATTTTTACTTAGCACTTTAATTAGTATTTAGATGGACAAAGTTTTGTTTTCCCTCTATTTTTAAATAACTACCAAAACATAGATAATTGATGCATATTTTATATATCATCCTCTTGCTGTTAAGTATTTGATTCATAAGAAGGCCCAAGAAACAAGGAAGAAATGAAACTGATCTAATATATTTATTTATGCTTCTAACTTTCCTCTCAGGGTTACGAAATGATCTTTTCTACTAGATCAATCATATTTTCTTTTACTTTAATTAACTGTAACAATAAAAATTAAAGTTATTGTATTAAAGAACTTTATGTAAGAATTACAATAGAAAAATTTTCTAATCTTTTTCTGTTTACTATAGTCTTTCTGTGAAAAACAATTTAGCTCAACATATCTTGTTTCAGTAATTAAAATAAGCCTTACACTATATACCTAATATTAATAAAAATATCTTTATAGGAAGAGGACAATTTTATTGTGGAAATGAAGTTCTTTAACTTCATATCAAGAAATTTACTGTTTCCTACCAATGTTCTTAAATTCTATTTTACCACATTAATTCTTAATGTGTATTCTTTTGAAACATAAACTCTCTACTAAATATTTTTCAAAGTACTTATATCTAATTGTATTAATATATTTTAAATTACCAGATATTTTGTGCTTTTGAAAATGTATACATCAGTTGAATATAAACATGAAAACCTATTTCTTCTCTCAAATGTGTGCTGGTGGTGCATCTAAAAAATGCAGCCTTTCATAGTTATAAGAAATTCTATGTGTAATTTCTATAACCACATCCTTGTTTTCATTTAAAATAATACTTAACAGAACCTGAAGCTGTTTAGATATTGTAACTGCAGTTTTAGACTATCTGGTTTTAAACATCTGCTTTTTGTGCATGGAAGTTATAACATCCATGCAAATAAGCCGTGCTAATAAAAGTATTTATTAGTAAGAGTAGCCTGGGTTGCTGATTTTACAATATGCTCAAAAATTAGACTATTCTTGTCTATTCTTATCTTACATTACTGCTGTAACATAATCACCAAAATCTGAAAAGAGGCCACACATGAAGTGCAGGTTTTTGACAGATTAAACAAATTGTTTATATTTATATTCTGACCCTTCAAAACAATTATTTCCTAGCATGTATTTAAACATCTTCCCCGTTAGTGTTCAAACCTTAATTAATTTGAATTTCTTGGCCTGGTTTTCAAGCAAGGACCTGTCTTTCAAATTCACCCAAATAGTATTTTTTTTTTTATTGAATTGGTTGACATTTATGTTTAGGATAATTTATCTGAAAAAAAAAAACCTTTGTTTTTTTTTTTTACTTTGCATCATAAATATAACTTTCACTTTAATTTTGTCATGTTTTAAATACTTTTCAAAGATTCCTCATGAGAATCCTGTACTGGCAGTCTATGACAAAGAACAAGCAAAATATTTTTTTTCCTTTCTCTTTAACCATCAAACTGATCCTTTTAAATAAAAATTTCCGATTAAGTACTTTCATTCAACTTAACATTCCTCCTTTCTGTCATTTCCGTGCTCTCTATCAATTAGGACAAGCAAAGCAGAAATACTTGTTACTTGTTACTCTCTGATTAAAATGCTCCCTGTCAACTAATAACTAAAGAGTAAATCTCCCTACAAAATCGTAAAAAAAAAAAAGAAAGAAAGAAAGAAAGAAAGAAAGAAATGAAAAGTAAAGAAAGAAAGAAAAAGGAAACCCTCAGTTTTTTAGGAGGTAAACCTTGTGATATTTTTCTATAGAAATTAAAAAAAAATACCTATGTAAATAATTATGGTCACCCCTACCCTGTGAAAAATCTTAATGGGCTGAAGGATATTTGAATTTCTGAGTTTAATGCTAGACAGCAGTGGTTTCAAATAATATAGTTAATGCTGGAAAAAAAATTTTTAAATTCTGTTTTAGATTTTGTCACAAAACTATCATAACTTCACAGTTCCTCATACCCACAGTTGTTCTGTATTTTATTTTGCCATTAATATGTCTGAGGAATGAAGGGTCATATTCATAACTCCACAGTTTTAAAATCTTTGTACTACATTTCATTGCTAATTAATCCCATCTGTCTCCCCAAGTTTTCTAATACATAATAATGTCTATTGAAAACACAATATTTAACTTAAACTTCAAATAAAATGAAATAAAAAACCCAAAGTCTAAAATATCTAATTTTTAAAATGTCTTTCTAGCTCCATATCAACTTCTTCAAACTGAAATCTTCAGAACACCGCACCCTCTATGGTGGATATATTAAATATCTCTTGATTTTTGACTTAGCCTGGATATTTAAAAAGAAGTATGCTGTTTTTTCCCACCTCTTTCACCCCATAATTTTCTCCCTGAATCCGATTTGTAGTCACTAACTCACCTGCCTTCTACACAAGAACTTTCTGTTCAGAAAACTTTCAAATTCCTTCCTTTCCTCCTTCATTTCTGGGGTGTGCCTGCTATATCAAATTGTAGAGAAGGGAAATGATCATTATTCTGGGCTGTTTTTCCCCCTCCAAATGATGCTTCCAAGACTTGTTTTCTCAGTCTTCCCTCTATACAACTGCACCACACACTAGTCAGCCCCTTTCTTTTTCTTTTTAAAAACAAAACAACAAATTTCACCTAACTACTCTCTCCCCCAAAACTTGATGGCATATTCTCGTTTTGTTCGGGGTGTGGGGGGGTGTTAGATATAAAATAGAGCCTGGCTGAGATTCTTTTTGCCTGCTCTGAACATAACCAATTTCTAGTATCTGGCAATTTCTTTTTCACCTTGTCTGCCGTGGCATTCTGTTTGAGGGTTCTCAGATGAATATATGAAGTTGGGGAGCACAGGTAGGTAGGACCACAAGAAAGGATGTCCACCCACCACAGCCTTGACCCTGCTCAGTACAGGTGGTATCTTGCTCAACACCAACCTGGATGTTTCAAGAGCAATCTAGAATATGTAAATTCTGTATAGATAGACATTTAAAAAAAATGCTATTCCTATATGTCACTCTTTGCAATCTTGGATTATCTCGGCTAACTTTCCCCCAAAGAATGTGATCTTTATGAAATAATTTTGAATATGCACAGCAGAAGTCTTTTTCAAGGGTAGACAAGTTGGCCACGCAGAGGCCCAGCCTAGGCCTCTGGCTGAAGCAGTGTAGCCCACCAAGTTTCTCCACCCAAAACACGTACTTAAGTACTGCTATTTCTATTGCCTGGTCACAGGCTCATGGGAGGCTGATGGTAAACATTTAACCACACATTTCTGACTTGATTCCATCACCCAGCAGAACAAGCAGACCCGAGACTAAGAGCAGACAGGGAAGGCACCATCCAAAGAATAAGCTAAGATGGCTTTACTTTGCGGCTCTGTCCATTTCCCCAGCCATTCTCCCAGCAACGGAGGTAGGCTTTGCCCTTATACAACAGTAAGGGGTCCAATATGGAGCGCTCCCAGGCGTCCCAAACTTTTACAAAGTACCAACCATAAACCAGTAAGACATTGCTGCAATAATATTATTTTTAATAAGAAAATGCCAAGTTAAAAGCCTTCTTTAAATTTTTTACAGATATAGTAGGTAAATGATTTTTTACAAAGAATAAGACATAAGTGGGTGCAGAGCCACAAAAACCTCATCTCTGCTTCATCCTCAGCACTACCAGCTTCTTTTTCTTCAGGAAAACAGAGAAACTAGGCAAGCACACTAGCACACTGGTCCTCATTCAGGAACCCAACGCCATTGTAACTGGGGAACAGACACAGTAGGAAGCCTTTCAACCTTCAGAAAGACGCCCTCCAACCCAGCCCTGGCCAGTATAATTGTAAAAGAAGCCAGGCAAAGCATTCCCAACCTTCTGAAAAGATTCCTGCCTCGTCCTCTGCTCGGGACTCCGCGCCACATTAATCTGACTCATTAGTTCCTATCAAGACAGCCGGCAATTTAAATCCAAGTCCTAAGCATACACTTCGTTAAGAGTGATTGTTTGGAAAGCCAAACTGACTGGTCCTAAACAGCAACAGATTAGTGTGAACTACTTACCAGGTCCAGCACCAGCTGCAAACAATTCTTTCATTTGCTTGATCCAGCAGAACTGCCAAATTCCCAAACTTCCTTTCCGTGTAGGAAACTAAGTTCCTAGAAATAATCAGAGTTTCCCTTATTAAGTCTTAAACGTAAACTACATATCCGACATAAGATTCTGAAGCATAAAATTACACAATTCCCCCAACCCCCTCCACAAAATCCCTCTTTTAATTCCATCTCTCTTTTAATTAATTTGGCAAAATTGCCTGCCTTCTCTACTATGCTTTCCTACTTAGACATCACTCTCAAAAGGAAGGATCCCCATC